ATGATTTGAATCTATTTCTTGTAAAGTTAGATGGTAGGTTTCAGTAAACATAACATCGCTTCGTTAGCCTTGTAGCAGACAGCCTGCGTTAGTTATAAGCACTGGGAGACCCGTTCCAGCGCTGCCAACGTCTCTCGCACTTCCCACCCCTCGCTCCAAGTTAATCTCAAAGACGTGAAGGTTTGGTTCTTGTTACAGGAAAAACAAGATGGCGATTTTGATTGTATTTTCGACGGATGCTCTGACTTTTGAAATGGCACAGACATATGAATATAAAGATATACAAGAAGAGTTTGGTAAGAGGATTGAACAGCTCTGCATGTGGCACCACTGCCCCGTTTTCTGTGATGGACGGAGAAGTGTGTGTCTGTTTATTACCAACCCGCTGACAGGTGTATTTGCTGCGCCCTTCCTCTGCTTTTGTTTCCCTGTGTTTGTGTTCATGGAATACAGAACAGATGTGACACGGTCAGCGATGGATGCAGCGGGATAGTACCTAGATAATAGTCATTACTCTGGGAGCTGGTACATGTAAACAAAAACCCAGCTGCCATTCCTACTACACTGAGTCTTCCTTGCACTGGGGAGGTGCGGCGAGTTCCTTTCTCGCTGGACACAATTTCGGCCTCATCCACAGACATACGTCTCCATACACACATTTCCTCTTGTCGCTGGATCTCCATTCCTCTCTTTCTCTCTCTCTCTCTCTCTCTCTCAGCTTTTTTCTTGTTATTCTCTATCACTTTTTATTTTTCAGATTTACTTAAGTATCGAAGAGTATACTGTATAGTGAGTTAGCCTCTAACTACACTGTTACACTGAAGTGAAAATGATAAATATAACCGTTCTGGCAGTATGGGCAAAGTGGGACTTTCTTACTATTGATCGACTCGTGATACCATTCCTCACATGGTCACTTTGGGTTCAGTGCTGGCTCCGATAACGTGGGGCTTTGGATGTCGTCGTGGTTTGGATATCGTGGTGATTTGGATATCGTGATGGTTTGGATATCGTGGTGATTTGGATATCGTGATGGTTTGGATATCGTGGTGATTTGTGTATCGTGGTAGTTTGGATATCGTGATGGTTTGGAACTCGGGATGGTTTGGATGTCGTGGTGGTTTGTGTATCGTAGTAGTTTGGATGTCGAGGTGGATTGTATAAACCACTACCACCACCTATAAAACAAGCTAGTACCACTAGACAAGAGGGAGAAGAGTCTGGTCACCTGCCTGCTAGCAACTACTAGCCACTCACTGAAAATAACGCTTCAAACTAGCAGACTCATTCAGGTATGTTTACTGAGACAAGAAAATATACATCTCAAAGGGATAGAGTAGTCTTACCACACTCCCTCCCCCACCACACTGTCTCCAAAGAAACAAACAACCAACGGACAAGTTACCTGGTCACATCCCACGCAAGAAAGGACGGAAATTATGATAAAGCGTTAAACCAGAATGATTATATAGCACATGAACGGGATATCAGGACATTTGGGATATGTGGATGGGGGTGAAAAAATGGTGCCTAAGCACTTGAACAATTGGGGATCGAACATCGACCCGGCAAGAGCGAGGGTTTCGCTCTACCTATCAAAGTGAATATGTAGCCTCATGGAAGAATAACGGGTAGATTTCAGCACAGTATTGTAGACGCCCCAGGAAAGTGAACATAAACCTTAACAAACTATGATACATTGTAAAAATTGTAATTAAAGTGTACATGACACTTAATAATGTTAGCTGTTGCAAAGATTAAAGGGAATTAAAGTAGACAGAATTTTCAGGAACACCAATTGCAGACAGAAGCATGTCAGCTTCTTCAAATCAACTACAGTAATACATACGCTTATAAACTATAATACACACATATACCATGGTTTTATGTGGATATGTTCTTGCTTCTACACCATAGTGTTATGTGGGTGTGTTCTTGCTACTACACCATGGTATTATGTGGATGTGTTCTTGCTTCTATCTACACCATGGTGTTATGCGGGTGTGTTCTTGCTACATCATGGTGTTATGCAGGTGTGTTCTGGCTTCTACACCAACACACCCACATAACACCATAGTGTAGAAGCAAAAACACAACCACATAACCTAATCACCAGTCTTTGGAACTCTCTCCTGTGTGTGGGGTGTGTCTTAGAAACGCTCTCTAAAGATAGGCTCTCTAAAGATAGGCTATCTGACACGTCTTCATCATGTCGATCCAAGGCCACATTTGTTATTGCTGGTAATTATTGCATATACAAGCACGAGTCATCAAAATATCATCACCTTGACTGGAACATATATAGAAGAGTAACAATTCTGACCACGTACATTTTAACTTGAGTGATAAATGTATCCTACCTTTCGTTGACGTTGCCAGTTGATACTGAATGATCGGTCAAAATCCCACTCACAACGCGTTTCAAACGGAATCACAAAAAGTCCTATAGAACACCACACAAATCTGTTGAGTAATGATCTATGATAAATTATTTCCACGTTAAAACCAATTAAAAAAAAAAGTAAAAAAAATATTGTACATGAGGAAATATTGCAAACACAATGTTTATGAACATGAGGAAATATTGCAACCACACAATGTTTATGAAATTACATAATGTTTATATGAACATAATATTTATGAGAAAATAAATCAACATTGCAATCCCGAAATATTAATGACAAGGAAATGCAGTAATATTATTTGTCTAAAAACATGAAAATTGTTAACGCTTACTAATAATAATTTCATATTCAACTAGTGTGGCTTGAAACTTGAGAATGCTATAGGCCTAGAAATACCTCGATATTCGGCATCCTATCCCCGACAGAGAGCATTTCTTAAATAATTTGGTAACTTATATTACTGAATAACAATAGCTTTCACAATATGCACAACTACTAGAAATAATTTTCAAGGAAATATAAAAAAACATTTAAAGTCAGTGTGGCGTAGCGGCAAAATTCTCGTCACGCGAGCAATTTACCTGAATTTACCCGATGGGCCACTAACACTAGTGGCCTCCACAAGGTCAGGAAACCGGCGGCTTGTCAAAGGCACCCCCCAACTTGTCCTGATGATATTTTCCGGCTGGATTTTGAAATGTAACAGTTTTGGCTATAGCTTCGGCGGGTAGTCCATGAGCTTATAACCCTCTGGGTGATACATCATGTGTGTTTCGTCCTGCATTGTGGCTTGTTAACCTTTCGGGCCAGGGTTAGAGTACTGGGGCCAGATTCACGAAGCAGTTACGCAAGCACTTACGAACCTGTACATCTTTTCTCACTCTTTGGCCGCTTTGTTTACAATTATTAAACAGTTAACGAGCTCTGAAGCACCAGGAGGCTGTTTATAACAATAATAACAGTTGACTGAGAAGTTTTCGTGCATGTAAACTGTTTAATAAATGTAACTAAAGCCGTCAAAGATTGAGGAAAGGTGTACACGTTCGTTAGTAGTGGCATACCTGCTTCGTGGATCTGGCTTCAGGTCAGTGAGGGTAATCTGGGCGCCAAACTGTTAGCTCAGTAATAACTGGGAACCTGTAGTTGTTAATAGGATTGGAGGGTCGTGTTCCAAGGGAAACTACCAGGGTACGTAAGGCTTTAGATACATGGATACATCAGATATGGGAAGAGAAAGCCCTAAGCCTGCTAACATGGGTTGTGAACTCGTTTGTTCCTGTAACCATACGTGTAAATGAAATGTAAAAAGGATCCTCACCTTATACGTAGACTGAGCCCGCGCTGGACGCCGTCCAAGTGCCGCGTGACGCAGCTCTGGCGGAGGAATACACTTCGTGTACCATCTATGTAATATATTTATCTCCAAATAACTACAGTGAAAATGAGACTACAAGTATGACATAATAGCAATTAAATAATACAATAATTTAAAATCTTAAACAGAATTTCAATGGAACGTGTTTTTTCCAAAAACGTTCAATATTAAAAGGTGAATATTTATTTGCCCATGCTATTCACATATTTAGACTTTACCATATATCAAATCTTTACAGAAATAAAAGAAATATAAATGAATCGTTGCATAAAAATTACACAAATGTTGGTGGTTGACAATGCTGAGGTGTGGGTTAGAGAGAAAGTAGTGCCCTCCCTCCCGCCAAAACCGCCATGCGCCCTCTCCTCCTCGCCGTCATGAATTTATCTTCTCCCAAACTCACTTACTCCACTCTTTTTATTCCTCACCATGGCTAATTTATGATTTTATCTCTCTGGCAGGAAATTAAGACGCGAAATAACTGCAACGTTCCTTCGCTGCAATATTATAACAATCCATATCGTTATGTCAACACATTTTCACTATCATGGATATGATCATGATTATACTGAGCAGCTTCGCTATGATACTCGATATTAAGCCATGTTATGACCACAGTATTACCTAATTATGGCAGCAGCATTTGTTACCTTGACGATAATGCGTAGCCGCCAAACCCATCAAAACTAGAGGCTTTGTATTTTGAACCAAAGCTAGTTTGATTCAAAATACAGATACAAAAAAAATATTTCAAGAAGAATATGATAACCGTTTACTGGCTATCGGGTTTCTACTCTCGCCACTGAGACTAAGAATTGTGGAAAACGTGTTATTATCACTCATCATTCTCAGAATCATTTATGGCGACAAATTTCGCTATCATACTATCTCGCTATCCTAGCCTTGTCACCGTATATTCTACAGTGACACATTCGGTGTCTTGACACAGTGTTATATAGGACAGATCGTACAATATGTGCTAAAACATATAATATGTGCTAATACCATAATAGGCTACCAGTGGATCTTATTTTTCTCTATTGAAGATTCCTAAATATTTAAATTATGAATTTATCACGAATGCTTATTCATTGTGTAGGCCTATATAATTATGTCAAAATTTGTGCATCCTTAAGGAACTAGCAAATTAATAGCAGTAAACACCTCGGCTTTTTACCTTATATTTAACATGGTAATTACAGCGGCGTTTCGGGATTTGTTCATGCTTGATAACAGGTGCTGCCACAGGTACAGGTGCTGCCACAGGTACAGGTGCTGCCACAGGTACAGGTGCTGCCACAGGTACAGGTGCTGCCACAGGTACAGGTGCTGCCACAGGTAGGTACAGGTGCTGCCACAGGTACAGGTGCTGCCACAGGTACAGGTGCTGCCACAGGTACAGGTGCTAACACAGGTACAGGTGCTGCCACAGGTACAGGTGCTGCCATAGGTACAGGTGCTGCCACAGGTACAGGTGCTGCCACAGGTACAGGTGCTAACACAGGTACAGGTGCTGGTACAGGTGCTGCCACAGGTACAGGTGCTGCCACAGGTACAGGTGCTGCCACAGGTACAGGTGCTGCCACAGGTACAGGTGATGCCACAGGTACAGGTGCTGCCACAGGTACAGGTGTTGCCACAGGTACAGGTGCTGCCACAGGTACAGGTGATGCCACAGGTACAGGTGCTGCCACAGGTACAGGTGTTGCCACAGGTACAGGTGCTGCCACAGGTACAGGTGCTGCCACGGGAGCTGCCACAGGTACAGGTGCTGCCACAGGTAACATGGTACAGACCAGCGTTTTTCAAACTTTCTTTACTGCGACCCACACCAAAACCTTAGTCATGTATTGCGACCTAGTCTGCCTATGCGTAATAAATCATCATAAACTCTATGAATTTGTTCATTTATTTATTATTATCACGTAATAACTACATATTTATGGATGGAACCTATTCCATTAAATTACAAATTTATATTTATAGGAATAATATAGAAAAATAAAGAGACATTTTGCATGAAACTAGCAAAAGAGACAGTAAATAATATATATATATATATATATATATATATATATATATATATATATATATATATATATATATATATATATATATATATATATATATATATGACAATGTCAGACCACGGAGGAAAAATGAAACAGGAATTTCCTTAAGTACTTTCTTATATTAAATACATCTTCAGAAGGTCCTTCTGAAGATGTATTTAATATACGAAAGTACTTAAGGAAATTCCTGTTTCATTTTTCCTCCGTGGTCTGACATTGTCACATTCTTAATCACGTGTTTATTTTCGTGATATACACACACACACATATATATATATATATATATATATATATATATATATATATATATATATATATATATATATATATATATATATATATATATATATATATATATATATATAAATATATATGTTGTACCTAGTAGCCAGAACGTCGTACTTGGCCTACTATGCAAAGCCCTATTTGCCTAATAAGCCCAGTTTTCCCGAATTTATATATTTTTCATTTTTTTTCTTATGAAATGATAAATTTGTCCATTTCATTATGTATAAGTTAATTTGTTTAAATTTGAGTTAAAACTAACGAAGATATATGACCGAACCCAACTTACCCAACCTAACCTAACCTAACCTATCTTAACCTAACCTAAACTAACATAACTAAATCAATAATTTATATTCTTTATATAATATAATAAAAATATTTAAAATGAACCAACTGGAAACATTTTATTGAAAACAAAGAAAATCACTCGGCCTATTAGGCAAATCGGGCTTTGCATAGTAGGCCGAGAAGTGCGTTCTGTCTACTAGGTACGACATATGTATATATATATATATATATATATATATATATATATATATATATATATATATATATATATATATATATATATATATATATATATGTCGTACCTAGTAGCCAGAACTCACTTTTCAGCCTACAATGCAAGGCCCGATTTGCCTAATAAGCCAAGTTTTCATGAATTAAAATATTTTCTCTAATTTTTTTCTTATGAAATGATAAAGCTACCCATTTCATTATGTATGAGGTCAATTTTTTTTTATTGGAGTTAAAATTAACGTAGATATATGACCGAACCTAACCAACCCTACCTAACCTAACCTAACCTATCTTTATAGGTTAGGTTAGGTTAGGTAGCCGAAAAAGTTAGGTTAGGTTAGGTAGGTTAGGTAGTCGAAAAGCAATTAATTCATGAAAACTTGGCTTATTAGGCAAATCGGGCCTTGCGTAGTAGGCTCAGAAGTGAGTTCTGGCTACTAGGTACGACATATATATATATAACTGAAAACTCACACCCCAGAAGTGACTCGAACCCATACTGCCAGGAGCAACGCAACTGGTATGTACAGGGACGCCTTAATCCGCTTGACCATCACGACCGGACAATAAGGAAGTGATAGCCTAAGCTATTTAAACCACTTCCCCGCCGGCACTCGGATAGTAATCTTGGGGATAGCATTTTATCAAATCACCTCATTCTTTGGGGCAACACGTGAGGAACACAAATGCAAACAAGCCTGAATGGTCCCCAGGACTATATACAACTGAAAATTCACACCCCAGAAGTGACTCGAACCCATACTGCCAGGAGCAACGCAACTGGTATGTACAGGGACGCCTTAATCCGCTTGACCATCACGACCGGACAATAAGGAAGTGATAGCCTAAGCTATTTGAACCACTTCCCCGCCGGCACTCGGATAGTAATCTTGGGCATAGCATTTTATCAAATCACCTCATTCTTTGGGGCAACACGTGAGGAACACAAATGCAAACAAGCCTGAATGGTCCCCAGGACTATATACAACTGAAAACTCACACCCCAGAAGTGACTCGAACCCATACTGCCAGGAGCAACGCAACTGGTATGTACAGGGACGCCTTAATCCGCTTGACCATCACGACCGGAAAATAAGGAAGTGATAGCCTAAGCTATTTGAACCACTTCCCCGCTATGCCCAAGATTACTATCCGAGTGCAGGCGGGGAAGTGGTTCAAATAGCTTAGGCTATCACTTCCTATTGTCCGGTTGTGATGGTCAAGCGGATTAAGGCGTCCCTGTACATACCAGTTGCGTTGCTCCTGGCAGTATGGGTTCGAGTCACTTCTGGGGTGTGAGTTTTCAGTTGTATATAGTCCTGGGGACCATTCAGGCTTGTTTGCATATATATATATATATATATATATATATATATATATATATATATATATATATATATATATATATATATATATGACAGTACTTTTATATATTAATACATCTTCAGAAGTGACTCCTTCTGAAGATGTATTAATATACGAAAGTACTTAAGGAAATTCCTGTTTCATTTTTCCTCCGTGGTCTGACACTGTCACATTTTTAATCGCGTGTTTATTTTCGTGATATACACACATATGTATATATTAACAGGCTTCTTGTCGCCGAGAAAAAAATTATTATTAGTTTCATATTCTTGGGTAAATTCTTCAGATATCGCTATGATATTTTGATTCATATAATTCCATTTTCTGTCAAGCGAGAGCGAAAGAGAAAAAGGAGAGTAGTGGCAGCATGTAACACTAAACTAAACCTTCCTTTAATCCGTCTTATCCCAAATGCATATCCTCATCCTTTTCAAGTGCTATATTGTGGTAATGGCTTAGCGCTTTCTCTCGATAAATAACTTAACTTACTGAACCAACTCCATTAAATAACTAAATTCACCCTAACCTAACCTAATTTTTTAGCGCATAAGACCCAAAAATAAAACGTTAATACGTTTGTCTTATATAAGGCAAGGAAGCCCTGCTAAGTGACCACTGTAATAGATCATTTGTACACTATATTTGATAAATAAAGTATTATTATTACTATTGGTCTATCTTGACACAGCGCATTAGCTGTCGTCGCCTAGAGCAGCCTTCACCGCAAAGAAGACCCGCTCATAATACATCATTGACACCAAACGCCTCGCACAGAGGTTGTATAAAAAGCCCTAATTTTGTTACGTTTGTTAAAGGACTCTAGATGATGTGATCTAGACTCTAGATCACATCAACTAGACGTGGGGAACCTTGAACCCTTGCCCGTGACTAAGCAAAGTCAGGACCTGCGGACCGATATCATCCTCACCGGGCAGTTCTGTGGTGGTTGCTGTAGTGAATAGTCGCGCTGTTGTAATTGCCTGCCAGGAACGAGAAGGTGCTGAGGTGCAAGTTTAGTGCTGTGGAGAGGGAAGATACCAAGACGTGAGGCACCACAGTAAGTAGTACACGGCTGCCATGATGTTGTCATGTTAATAATGAGTAATTGTTTGTCTCACGAGTCGGTGTCATTATATTCATTACGGGCATGAATAGTCGGTAATTTCCTTGAGGTACGTAGACACTTTATATTCCCGCGAGGGAGGTAGAATGGCACCGTTTCTGTTGTCCTCGAGGAGGGAGTATTCATTATGCTGTTAATGGTGGTTTTTAGTATGATACTCATAAGATAGATGAAAACAAATACATTATTGTGTTTAGCTCATTGTTAAAGTGCATTGTTTTAATGTATTGTGAACTCTGTAATCTTACTGTGAGTGGTAGTGGAAAAAGTTGAGGCACATAACGGCTAATATAAGATAATATAATACCCATTGTTGATATATATATATATATATATATATATATATATATATATATATATATATATATATATATATATATATATATATATATATATATATATTGTGACGGTAACGCGTTGGTGTTCGGCTGTTTCAAAAGCTAGGGGTATGGCCTCGTCACATAAAGAAACAAAAAGAGAAAATCTGGAACTTTCGTCTGTGGTAAGGTAATGGGAAGACACACAAAACACAAGTAAATTTAACAATGAAATTTTAATTACGTTAGAAAAGCAAAACATGAATAAAATTGGACATAAAAATTGTAACATAAATCAATCAAACAAAATAATAAAAATAATCACTGGCAAATGAAAAGTTACGTTAAGACAAGTGAATAATAGACAAGTGAATAATAGACAAGGAAATATATGAGTGCAGGAATATTGGCTTCAAGCTGCCACCTCCCTTAGTACACGTAAGCCAAGGCTTAGTCTACCAATGAGACGTGTTAACTTGTGGAGAGCACGATATATTCTGATGACATTAGGTTGCGCTGGCTCAGACATCAGCTAGTGTGGCGGGCGGAGGAGCAGGTGCGACGGGCGCCAGCCAATCAGCGTTAGGCAGGCGACGGACAAGTAGTTTGCTGGTTTGAGTGGCGGAGGTGAAGCAGGTGTCCCGGTGCTGAATACGTTTGCTCTCTGGGCAAACCTTGGTGTTGTACTTGTTGGATATATCTTCTATATTAGTTGTTTTTGAGATGTAGTTTGGAGGGAAGAGCAGGCTCAATCTCTCTTGAAGGAGATTATCGTCACAATATATATATATATATATATATATATATATATATATATAATTGATATACATTAAACCGTATGTGTGTATATCACGAAAATAAACACGTGATTAAAAATGTGACAGTGTCAGACCACGGACGAAAATTGAAACAAGAATTTCCTTAAGTACTTTCGTATATTAATACATCTTTAGAAGCTATTAAACCGTATAACTAGGTTATGAATACTGTAACCTGCTAGGTTAAATGAATTTTACAGTTCAGGTCCTGAGCCCATTATGTGCGTCTGTACTTCTGTAACCTTTCACGCTACCGCCCACAGGATGGGTATGAGGTGTATAATA